CCCGCACCCCTGCCGCCAGTCAGCACACCTGCCGCTATGAACAGACAGTCGCCGCAACTTAAAGGTAGCTCGACTGTGTCACCGCTTATTGTAATTTAGTAAATTCAAACATAAACTCTACAATATTTTTTTATTTCACAGAAGAAGTTCTCCAACGGATATTCGAAAGCGAAGTGCCGAATCAGGAGGCTTCCTCTTTCACTGCAATAATCGAGAACCCGCCGGAGCCACCCCACCCCCCACAGCCTCCGCGCGACGAGAAGACTACGAAAGCGTCCGCCGGCAAAAAGAAAGCTGTCAAGAAATTCGAATGTCCGCTCTGCGACAGAGTGTTCCATCACCGGAACAGTCTGCTGTACCACATGCTGATGCACGGGGAGAAGCAGCACTATTGCAAGGACTGCGATAAGGGATTCTACACCGCTGCAGCTTTGAAGGTCACACACCTTCCCGGTCCACATCCGGCCTGAAGGAGCAATATAAATGTAATCAGAAGATTGATTGATTGTTACCGGTGAGATATATGTAGCATTGTCGTGTGCTGCAGGTACACCGGCGCGTGCACAGCGGGGACCGGCCCTGCGCCTGCGACGAGTGCGGCCGCAACTTCCGTCAGTGGAGCGACCTCAAGTACCACAAGGCCTCCATACACTCCGACCAGGTGCCTACCTATACTGCTCCCTCTACTTACTTATCTATAAATACACACTTCTTTGTAACGCTGGATGTCTGTCAGCAATCACAGTATATTTTTAATAAAAAATACTCAAAACCTACGCCACGCATAGACTATACATTTTCACGCTCTTAACCTTACGGGGTCAGTAAATTGGAAAAAAAAACTATAATATAAGGACGGGACAACAACTACAAACCAATATCAGCACACCAACATGGTCGCTATGGTAACTGTAACCATGCAATAAATCCAACAATGGTCACTGTGGAGTATGTCACTCTTGTACATTAACATCGGAGAAATGCATTACGTTGTGTTGCAGAAAAACTTCAAATGCGAGTTCTGCGAGAAGGAGTTCGCGCGGCGCTACTCGCTGAACGTGCACCGGCGCATTCACACCGGGGAGCGCAACTACAAGTGTGACTACTGCAACAAGACCTTCCGCGCCTCCTCCTACCGCCTCAGTCACATGCGCACGCATACAGGCACGTACACACACGATCCCATCTGCTGTACCACACCAACACCTCACCGACACAACTCGTGTCCTTACAAAATGAAATAGTGTAACGTTACAGTTATATACACCTTTTATTTGTCTTTGCAAAAATTGTCATCGTCAAAATTATTTATCATATTTTTTTTTAATTCAGGTAGTAAACCCTACAAGTGCCCGCAGTGCGAGAAATGTTTCCGAGTCGCGTACGACCTGCGCCGGCACATGCTCATACACGAGAAAGTCCGCCTGCGGGTTGACGAGATGAAGCCGAAGCCCAAAGACACCAAGGATAAGAAGACCAAGTCTGAAGAGCCCAAACCCCAGCTCAAAAACCAAGACGTAAAATCTTCGAAGAAAACCGCTGGCAACCGTCTTCCGATACTGAAGAGCATCTTAGACAAGAAACAACCAACAAAACCAACAAAGAAAACTCAAACTAAGAAAGGTGCTCCAAATGTTACCGTAGCTCCTAATAAAGAGGTGGCGATGAAAATAAGTGATAAATATACGAATAACGTTGAAGTATTTGATACAAGACAAGTTGAATACAATAAGTACAAAGATGTATTTGAATACAGAGGCAATGAAGTGTTGCAAAGTTATAAAAAAGATTATTCTGAAGAAATAATGTATAAAGAAAGCGATCGGTTGACTGAAGAAAGAGAATTAGCAGTGCTTAGACCGATGTTCCGGAACAGTCCACCTATAGAAGAGTTGGACAAAAGTAATATAAGATCGGAGAACACTGATGGTAATTTCCAAGTGTTTACACATATAGAGAAGAACACGGATGGAAATTTCCATGTGTATACACATTCGGATAAAAGTAAAAACTATATTATTCCCAGTTCCTCGCAATCTATTGATATGAAACTGGACAGAGAAATGAGTAGGGACGTTAGAAATGATGGACTTTCTACAGATAATATGGATAATGTGTTCTTAGAAAGATTAAGTGCTTTTTATAATATAACGGCAGTTTGAAAGTGCAGTGTATCAGTGAGACGTACCCACAGTGGGACCAAATAGTGGAATTGAAGTTTGTGTTCTTTATATCTGAGGTAAGATCTCTTTGGTCTTTTGTATGTATTTAGTTAGGGTATGATAGGGTTAAATTGTAGTACGGCTATTTATACATGAAATACAATGAGAAATAATAATGAGAGAAAAAGTTGATTGCAGGCTGAAAGTTGATACATTTGAATTAAAAACAATTTTATTAGGCCATTTTTAAATTTGACTTTTGCTCGATTTTATTTTAAAACTGTAGTAAAGTCATTAGAGTTGTTTTTGAACAAATTTTATCCGATTTAAAACAGTTATATGAAATTTGTTTATTTTAAATTTGATATCAAATTGAATCAAGTATTTACTTGATTGTTGTGATATAATAAGCAATCTACAATTGGGTATGTATATATTTAGAATTTTATAATGTATATAAAAGTACAATGCAAAATCAAATTAGATCCGACTGCTTAAAAAAACAAAGTTGAACCTGAATAAGCGAGAGTCCAACAGACTGGAGTATTTTTCTCGCTTACACAGATTTCTTACCCAAGTTTCTCGCTTATGAAGGTTGACATCGGGACCACACAGTTTCTTGCTTATCCAGGTTCAACTAATTGATACATGTCTTAAATCTGGTTACATTTTTGAAGAAATAATTGTTTTAAGAATCATATAATTGTGATATTACATTAGCTGAAATAACATACTCTTTATTCCTTCCAGTATGTTATATATTTGTTAAACTTAATACCCTTTAGTATGTTAAAATATTTCGCATCTCAAAGATGTATAGATACTGCCTCGGAAAACTTTGATTTTTTTAAAGTTATAAATATGTGTTTAACTTTACAATAGGAAAAATTTAAAAGAAAAAACTACAATTTCATTCATTAAGAAAAATTGATAAGTGCCTGAATAAAAATATTATAAGTAATGCATTTTATAAATCATTTTTAAACTTAAAAAAAAATAGTGTAAATTGTGGTATTTGGTATTTGAAAGTATATTGTCGTCTGTTCACACTTTTTTTGGGAAATGGTCCAAAATATGTAAAGAATTTTTTAACTTGACTACCATGTTCTTTAGCTCTGTGTTCATTAATTTTGAATATATTTTAATTTACTTGTAATGTACTTAGAAAGGTGCCAAAAGCAGAACAACTTTATGTGTATATAGTTGTTATATACTTTGAACACAATGTAAATAACTCGTGTATATAAGATGTACTGAATACCAGCATAATATACAAAGCGATCAATTTAGAACGCAGTGAGATGAGATGGTTACATGTGTTTTAGTATAAATATATAAGTAAGTATCCACCGCTGACCTACTTCTAGTTATAGATATTAAGATTTATTGTTAACTTTTTAATTATCTTATTGTTTATTTTAATTTCTTTTTGCACTTATTGGTTGTTTTTTTTTTGTTAATGTGATAAATTTTAACAGAATAAATATCGCCAACGGTCTATGTCTTACGATCGTGAAACAAAACTATTTGTTTTATTTTTTGGTCGACTAACGGAATTATTATATTTTATATACATGAAAACTTCAGACTACACTGTTTTTCATTATAAAGATTACTAGATGTCGCCCGCGACTCGGCGCGGAATATAAAGAACTTATTTAGCAGCGTATGTGTTCTTCCAGGCTATATTCTACGCCAAATTTCAGCGCGATCCATGCAACTTTTTTGGAAATACCTTCAAACATCCATCCATCTACACATTAGTATTTATTACTGAAGAATTTCTGAGCCATAAGTTAATCTTTTGCCATTTCTGGTGATTTTAAAGACTTGAAAATAATGTTGAAAAGAAATAAGGCACTAGAAATAGAGGCAACGATTATAATGTGTTAAAAAATAGGTGATGGCTGATCTTTACTAGAACACATAAAATTAGAAATGGGGTTACTCAAATACACTAAATATTTCAACAATGTATCGTAAATCGTTCTCGGTGAAAATTATCTGTACGTTAACTGCGGGTAGTCGATGCGCGGAGAATTCCCGCCATTTCCGTTTGATTTACCGCCAAGAATTCTCGCTCGCTCGCTCCCGTGTCTATGGTTGGACATCGATGTTCATTCATAGTCGTATATTTGTTCCTGATTGCTATACGATATTTACACAAAGCTAATTTCGAGTAAGAGCCGATATGTTAGTCGTTTTATTCAAATAACATGGCGTGATATGTGTAGCATTCCATAGCCTTTACAATTGGATCCTTTTGGCATAGATTGCAGGAAGACTGCTTTGTTAATTTTAGCCGTACCGTATTTCAGGAAATAGGTATGTAGGCTACTAAAATTATTTTAAAATAGCAGGATATGTAAGAAATTTTTAGTACACAATAAATTATGTTTACCATTCGGAACATATTTTGCGGCACTCTATCAACTAAAGAAACTACTGAAACTGATGAATTGCTTATTTGTTTTACCGCTGTAATATATCATGATTAACCGTGAGTTTCTGAGAATATAATATCTGTATAAACATATCATCCCTGTCATCTGTCATCTTTAATAAAACAGAGTTAACAATGCGTTTTATACGGGGATTTTCATCTCAAAAACCCACAGTAATTTGCTTCTTTTAGATGATAAGTTTAAATACGTTCAACTTAATATTTTTATTGCGCTTTCACACCGCCTTGAATGAACTATTCGTGATTGTCTCAACATATGTTCCTTTTAAACGTTCAAATAATAATTTTGTTCAAGTCTATAATTATAATTCTACAAAAGAATCAACTTGTTTTGATATAAATATGTACTGGAACATGTTAACGTGGGCCGCAACTAAAATTATTTGCTTCTAAAATGTTTTTGCACTCAAACTTTTACACAAAATACACTGGAATTTGTTTCTGGTCAAATGAGTAACTATAGAAATATTTTTCGTGGGCTTAAAAAATGTGGATACGTGCCTGATCGCCAGTGTACCGGGCCGGAGGGATTTTCCACTGGAGCCGTAACGAGAGAAGTCGGAACGCGAAAGCGCTGGAAAGTAACAGTAGCGCGCGACCCGCATTACCGCGCTTTTTACTGTCAAATCCTTTGTCACATAACTAACTTAGAAATAATAATTTATTTCGTTTTTACATACTTTTTTAGGATTTTTTGAATATTTCTCATAATTTAATTTAATTTTAATACGTTAAAATATAGAAATTCAATTTATGTTAATTTTCCCATCAATTAAGTGCAATTCGTAGTGTTTTTTAGGAATACAAATGTCTGGATATATAAAATGGAGGCGTGGTCAGGATCATACTAAATGGGAATACGTAAAATTTTTGCCTAATGAGATCGGATACCGTACTCTGTTACGGTAATGGAAGTATTAAGAAGATGCCATATTCTGAAAACCATAAGGGATATTTCCAAATCCCAAAAAGCAAGTAGAACATTCGAATAGTTTCCACAGTTGTTTAAAACGACTGATCAGTTTAACCTGACTCAGCAAATCGATTACGCTTAATCGGTTTAAAGAACCGTGTCTTTCAGCGATCGCAACGAATTAGCCTTAAATCTAAGCTCATCAAACAAACACGTCCGAGCGCTGGTGAATGCAAACAAACAGTGCAGTCCACGCGGCCGATGGCCACGCCCACGCACGTTCCGTTGAACCGATCCTAATTAAAGACGATTGTTTACGTTTAAAAATAATATATTCAGTACGCGAGCTAATTCGAGTGTTGCAAGTCTAAAATAATTCGCGCTGCCGCGGGTTAATGACGCGCGCGCTGCGCTACCGAATTTGCCATTTTAGGCGAGGCGTAAGTTAACGAAATATTAACATTTTTCTCCTTCGATTACGTTCATAGGTGATTTGTACATTTAATGAAGTAAAAGTGTTCGATAAATATGACGCTTAGAATAAAAAAAATCAAGATTTTTTTATTTTAGCATCTTTTAAGACGCTAAAATAGGATAGCGCTAATTACCTAATAGTACCTCAGTTGAGCTTAAAAACTATGGCCTTCTTTTGCGATAATCGGTTAATAAAATGCACAATGATTTCAAATTTATTTTATACAGTTAACATTTGCTCCAGCAATCCGGAAACTTTTATGATTAAGTCTAGAAATTTAAGAATGCTAAAGTGTATGGGCGCCGTGTTGTCTGCCGCGGCGACTGGCGAGAGGCAGCCACTCGCATAAACATTTTTTTCATTATCGATTACACTTGTTATGCGAGAAAGCTTGTCGGTTTATGTATAAATCATATACATTTGATTTGTCATTACTGCTTTTGGTAACATTTACACTATTGTACATAACATCACATTGCAAACTTATCTTTTATTTTGTTTGCATTTTTTTCTCAAACTTGGACACTGCGCACACAATGCTGTCTTTGCGCCTTTCAAGACTTTTGAAGGGTTCTTAATTTAAACTACGAAATGTACAATCGACGCAGTAACATTACTCATTTTGTTACATTGGCTGGTTAATCTGCCCCCAATGGCCAAGATTAACTCAACGAACATAATCCTGATGCCGTATTGTGATTCATTGTTTATAATTACGAGATTTACAACTGTTTTATACATCATGATAACCGTGCGTACGTAGGTTTAAATTCCACGCGCCTTACTCAATTTTACAGTTATCTTTAAAACCCGACGTGACGTCGTCGATCTCGTGACGTCGTTAAATTTAACAAGATTATGAAAATAAACATCTCGTGTACAAGAATCACAAATTATTTTTGCGGCTTAGTCACTTGCTCGTGACAGATGTTTGCTGATATCAAAATGCGCTAAAACATTTGCACGATGTTTGTTTTTCTACGACTTTGGATGCATCAACGTAGACTCGTGAAAAACAGAAAGATATTGACGTGTTTTTAAACAATTTGGATAAGGAATAACATTTTTTTATATTAGAACTTAGGACTGTCTGGTGATGTGATTGTGATTCACCAAGAGTATTGTTATTCACCACTAGCAAGAGAAATCTTTGTGCAAAATTTTCTAGGTCCAGTAGTTTGCACTGTGGGGGTCCTGAGTTTTTCCGTTTATTTAAATCTAAAACAAGTTGGTGTGAAACAAAAGAAATAAATTATGATTACATGTTGTTCTTTTCGTTCCATCTCAAAGAGTTTTTGCGTAGCTGAGGCCGGACATGGTATTACCCAATGCTGTAATAGCGATCAAACCGCAAAGTTTTTATTATAACCAAAATTAACCGTATCATTGACTCGTTATGCTTATTATGCCAGGATCTAAATAAAGCAATTTTAAATGTTAACCTGTTTTATATTAACAAGATTTCGTGAACTGCATATCTAGCATGTCTATAGAGTTTTAGAGAAACATGAAAGTAATGAGAATGAATTTGAATAGGAAAGAAGACGGAAGAAGTATGGATTTTAGAGACGGTGCAAAATATATTACGACTGGCAGAGTAGTATACTGAAGACAGAAGGGCAAGAAGATCTTCTACGACTATAGCCTATACGAATGTAAATTAATATGTTAA